TCAAAACTCATTAGAATAGCTCATCTAATAATTTGGGACGAGGCTGCTATGGCTAAACGCGTTGCAATTGAAACGTTGGATAGAACACTAAGAGATTTAATGGATCAAGATGAACCATTTGGCGGAAAAGTAATTGTATTTGGTGGCAATTTCAGACAAGTTTTACCGGTGGTGCCTCGCTCAACAAGATCACAAACTATCAAAGAAAGTTTAGTTAGTTCACATTTATGGAGCAAAATGATAAAACTACAACTTTCAAAAAATATGAGAGCAAAATCAGACACAACATTCAGTGAATTTCTTCTTAGGATTGGGAATGGAGATGAACCAACAGTGACACAGGTTCTCATAAAACTGCCTAATGCAATGTTGATCCAGAATCAAGGTCATGACCTACCAGAAGATTCTCTCATAAATTCAATTTTTCCATCTTTAGAAGAAAATTTCAAGTCTATTGATTATATGAAAGATAGAGCTATCCTTGCAACAAAAAATGAATATGTTGACATGTTAAATGATAGACTAATAAAAAGGTTTCCAGGAGAAGGAAAAGAATTTTATAGCTTTGATGAAGCAGTTGATGACACTAATCATCATTACCAAGAAGAATTTTTGAACACTCTGGTCCCTAATGGACTACCGCCACACAAGCTCAAGTTGAAAAAATATTGTCCAATTATTTTACTAAGGAACTTGGATCCAACTAATGGACTGTGCAACAGTACAAGAATGCTACAATGTAATTCAAGCTAAAATCACAATGGGCCAACATGCTGGGAAAGAAGTTTTCTTGCCAAGAATACCATTGTCACCAGCAGAAGATGAAGGATTACCATTCAAGTTCAAACGCAAACAATTTCCCATAAGATTATGTTTTGCAATGACAATTAATAAATCCCAAGGGCAAACAATACCTAACATAGGTATTTATCTACCTGAACCAGTGTTCTCTCATGGGCAATTATATGTTGCTTTATCGCGGGGTACTTCTATGATGACAACCAAGGTCTTAATAACATCAGATGGAAAATTTGCAGAAGAGCAACAATACACAAAGAATGTTGTATACAAGGAAGTTATCCAGCCAAAGGACCAAAAGGAATATTTCAAATGACCAATAACATTTTTGAAGGTTAGGAATTTATATAATAAGTAACTGTAATTTTATTAAAGTTTTTTTCTTAAAAATAAGTTTAAAAACTTACAATTCATTATTACATCATTCACTCTGTTCATTCAAAATCATGTACTAATCAAAATTAAAATAACTTTAAACATTGTAAATAATATTAATTAATAAATTCAAATTACTATAATTAGTGTCACATCTTTGATATAGAAATAGTCACATTTTATTTTCTTTTGAGTTTATTTAGTACTTCAGATGCGTTGTTATTTATATATAACAAACTATTCAAAATCTTGCAGGAACAATGTCATCCACCAACGAAGCACCAATTCCGCACATCCAAATACGCCAACTAAAAAAGTTTCAAAGAGAGTGGACCATTCTTGTTGTTATCCTAAGAACTATTGAGTCATCTTATGAGAACAACAAAGGATCAGGAAAACTACTAAAAATAATTTTTGCCGACTCAGAGGTAATGTAGCAAAATTCTACAAGCTATAATTCTATTGATAATTGTTTATACTTATTCTTAAATAAAGTAATACATACAATGTTTAAGAACAATATGCATCATTTTTTATCATGCCATAGCAATCGTTATTTTAAATCTATGCAGATCCTTCTTAATTTTTTAAAAATTTATAAATTATACATATAAATTAAATTATAATTGTTGATGCTTATTCTTATATTAATTATTATCACCTTACTATGTATAAGATCATATTAAAAAAATTCGTGCATTTATTAAAGAGGTAAGCTACATGTAATTCATTTTCATAAATTTTATACAACAAATATCATGCTTTCTTCCTAATTCTACATAAATTAATTGTCTACATATGTCTAACAATATAAGCAAGCAAATAATTGGAATATGACATGAATACAACATTGTATACACATTGCAACAAAATAGTTATTATTTAGACTAAATTTTTAATAAACATATTTACCATAAATTTTTTATTTAGTTGCATGATGAAGCTAAATTTTGAGCATATTAATTTATTATGTTAGTCCCTCAACTTAGTTGGTGTTGCAAAACTTTGGTGAAATTGTTTATAAAAGTACCGCCTATTGGAATTGTTTACAAAGAGCTAATCCATATAAACGATTAAATTTGTTAATTAAGATCAAATGACTTATTAGTAAGTAGTAGAAATTCTAATTCAATAACAGGTAACTTTATATAAATAAGGTTAGTTTTGTTGATGAGTTAAAAGATAAATTTTTTTTTGGGCCCTGAAGATTATTGATACCTTTCAGTAAAATCTAGAGAATGGTTAGTTAAAAGTTTCCCACATAAAACTATATTTATACATAACTTACATCATCTATTACTTATCTTATTTATCTTAGGCTTAAATGAATGTTAATGTATTAGTTATTTGTGAGATAATATTACTAATATTTGCAGGGAAAAAAATACAAGGTATTATGTTTGGAGAAACTATTGAAATGTATAAGCACATGCTTCAAAAGAATCATGTTGTCTACATCTCAAATGGAGAAGTCAAACCAATAAACCTGCTTTATGGAAATGTACATGAGTCAATTGAGTTGACATTGACTAAGAACATTTCTATCAAAGAATCAAAAGCAGAGTTTCAATTTGATAAGATATTGAATAACTTTATCTCAATCAAAGATGCAATTTCCAACGAGGATACAAGGAATATAAGTAAGTATTTGTAAACACCTTTTATTTTTAATTTAAAAATTTATACATGAATTTTAAACTTATTATAAATTTATGTGCAGATGTTCTTGCAATGATGGCAAATGTCAAGCCTATGATCAAGTACGTTACAAGATATAATAAGGCGGACACAAGGCGGGACATCATTATAGTAGACAAAGAGTATACACGCATGCTTTTATTTCACAATAAAATAATTATTCAAAATATAATATATTAACCTAAAATTGTCTAACTTTTCTTACACAGTGAGATAACATGGTCTGTAATTTTATTTGGAGATTTAGCTGGCAATGAAGGTTCAATTATTGAAGGAAATATGCATGAGACAACTATAATAGCGCTATCAGATTTTAAAATATCATTGTACAAAGGTAACATTTTTTATTATTGAATTGTAAATTATTTATCAATAAATATCAAATTCTAATTATAACTATTATATATGCTATTGAATTGTAAATTATTTATCAATAAATATCAAATTCTAATTATAACTATTATATATGCAGGGGAGAAGTGCATGACTTCGCAAATTACATCAACAATATGTATCAACCCTGAAATACAACTTGCTAAGGACATGCGAGAATGGTAATTCAAATAAAAAAGGTAACTTAATAAATTTAAATTTAAATTTTTTAAAATTTATATGCAGGGCTCTTTCAAAAGACAAGATCAAGACTAATGGTGCTCCGTCAAGGCTATTTAAAAATACAGCGAAAATGAATATTGTCGACATTATGCAAGCTTCACAAGAATCATCAAAGGTATGATATTAAAAATCCTACTATAAAATATTAATGAATCATGAGCTTCATTTTCAAAACAAGCTTATAAAAATAGATCTTGTTTCATTAATGTTTCAAATACATTTACAATTATTACTTTTACATTAAATTTGAAAAAAATCATTTTTGACTATATTTTTTTCAATTATTTTATAATTTTTTATTTTATTTACTAAATATATATAAACTACGATTATAACTAACTAAATTTTTACAAATCTACAGGCACAATATGGCTGGGTTTTTTTAAAAATAAGTAATATCTTAAATAGACATGAGGCTTGGTACTACTCATTGGCAGCTTTACTGGAAAAATAAGTAATATCTTAAATAGACATGAGGCTTGGTACTACTCATGCAAAGGTTGCAATAAAAAAGTAGACAAAACTATTTATGCAAATGTAAAAATTGTCAAAAAAACAATGAAGACAGTATACCGAGGTAAAGTACTATCAATTACTCATGAAAGAAAAATATAAAGATAAAATATAAAAATATCATCTGATGCACAATGATAATAAAAAATTTAGGTATCTTGTTAAAATCTTAGTGGAAGATGAAACAGATAATGCAAGCGTCACACTTTTTAACGCAGCAGAAACTTTGATAGGATGCAATGCTCAAAAATTCATGGATGATATAAAAGAGGTAACTTCTTACTTTATTATATTTTATACATATAAAACAATATTTTTCATGTATAAGATCTTAATTTTTTCCTCATTAAAACAGAAAAAAATCAGAGTTCATTCTTTCAAAAGTTTGTTCTCAACATCGGAAAGACATACAAGTTCATTGTAAAGTTGGATGAGAACTCAAAGGATGAACGTGCACAAGGAAAGATAATAGCACAAGAAATCCAAATCCAAGAAGACATCGCAATCAATATTGATGATGATGATTCAATTCTCGATTTACCAAAAAAGAAGATAAAGGTGGAGAAGGATTGATCAAGGGCCCACAAAAAAAACATGAATGCTTTTTAATTTTAATTTAATTACATTTACAAATTGGTTGAAGGATTTTAAATGATTTTTTTATATGCTTTTAATATTATGAATTGATGAATTTAATTTGTTAGGACAATTCATGATTTATACGCATATGCTCATATAGTTGTTTGATAACTATTGCATGCTTTGATTGTTATTGCAGTTATTGATAACTATTGCATGCTTTGATTGTTATTGCAGTTATTAACTTAAATTTAACATTCAATTATGTGAATATAAATACATATTTAGAGAATAGTTCACTTTATTACTTTAAATTTTCATGTCAACTATTTTTTACTTATCTATACTGCACACAAACTGTTGTTGATGAGTCATTTGCAAGAAATATGATGACCAAGCACAACTTCCTGAACCTGTTGAGAGGAAACAATAGCTTTCTATAAAGAAGGTAGCTTATTTATTAAAATTGTTATTGTAAATTATTTCTTTTAGTAGCCCAAATTTATTTGTTTCTGTTTTATGACATGGCCAGGTTCTCAGTGTTTTTAAAAGAATAATCAATGAAGATTGCCTACTACTAGGTTTCATACCGAAAGATGATCGTCCGGATTGGATGATATTACAACTTCTTCCTATTCAACCACCTACTGTAAGACCATTTGTTTTGATTGACAGCTCTGCTAGAAGTGAGATAAGTTTGTTCTGTTTCACAAAATGAGGGATAACCTGTATAGCGTTACAAAACCATTGCATCACAATTTTTTTCCTTTTTACTACAAACTATTCATGCTTGAAGAAATATATCTTATTCACGAAATTTTTTAAAATATATGTAGTTTGTCTCATGTTAAAGGAGTGCTAAATCCAGTTTCAAACAATTTTCATTTATTTCTAGCATTTGATGGCCTGAAATTCATTGTTGCTACTTTTTTGTTTGACAAATTGTACCTTTGTAAAACACTCAAGGTTAACTTCCTGCCATGAAGGTTATGCCTTTACGGAGTAGAACAAACCCCCTTCTATAAGGCAGGATATAGATAGTTGAAGTGAGAGGCTTGAAAGTCCTTACTGTTCAAAATTTCCAACATACTATGGGTTACGACAAGAAATAAAAAAATAGATGTTACTAAATTCCTTATAAAACTGTTGCATTATATGCTCAGTTTATTGAACTAATAGCTGCATTATTTCACTATTCTCAGAAATGTACTGACGCTAGCATGTTGTTTTTGGCTATTCTCATGATTGCTGTACATATTTGGTATGAAAATGTTTTCTGAGGATGCAAGTAAACATGAATATAATAAAATGTTTACAATTATTACTTTGCATTCATTCATAAGGCATACATATTACAATTGTTTGGTTGTATTCGTGTTATCTGTGTCTTGCTGAAGGTAGCGGAAAATACACGACTACAATATTAGCATTTCCTTCTAATGAATTCTTAAGAGTTGGCATTAATGCGTCTGTTATATACCACAGTAGCTCATGTTATGCAATAAAAATAACATCGTTCTTATGTTTGTGACCTCAGATATGGGTGGTAGAGAAGGAAGTGGTCACTCGAGTTTCCCTCATGTTGCACTCAATGAGCGTATCCTTTCATTAATGTCGAGAAAGTATATTGCTGCGCTCAACCATGGCATGATTTACAAATAGGTTTGCACTAGCCTACTAAATTAAAATCTGGATTATTTTCTCCTTTTATATATTATTTTCATTTTGTTTTCTCACCCTCTTTTCAATTTTATATTTGAATTTGTTTCTCGTGTAACTACTTCAGGAACCATTTGTAGATTTTAGTGTTTCTCCTCCCCTTTGTGGTTATTTTACTTGTCTAAATGACTGTTTACTTATGATGTAGGACCTGGAGCAACTGCAGTTTTCAACTGCGTAAGTTACTTTTCATAGTTATGATGCGACTTTCAATTGTGCAAGTTATTTTTCAACTACTCTAAAAGGTTTTAGCTATCAGTGGGATTCAGTTTTGTTCTGAAAGTATTAGTATATAATTATCTTTACAATAACAACTATTTATACTTTGCTTCTTAAATTATGAACTACTTTGCATAAAAGTACGTGGAACATCTGTTTTTACTAAATTTGTTTTTTAAATTTTGCTACGTTTGTTCCTCAGTTTAATTAAAAAAGATTTTTTATAAGCGTCAAAAATGATTTTAAGTGGTCAGGGGTAGTTTTTGGATTCTTGAAAGTTGAAAACGTGATCTGTAGAACATGTTTTTTAAACTTATTAAAAACATTGCTTATTGTTTTTACTTTTGCATTTTTACAAATTTGTTCATCAGATGAGCTAGGAAGGAATTTAAGTTATGAGGGTAGCTCCGGGCGTTTGAAAATTGACACACATGACCAAAAGCAAGGCTGGTCTCAAATATATATATAGTACGAGATATGTCAAGTTAAGAAAGCATGTAATATTCAAACTCAATAATTGACACACATGTAATATTCAAACTCGATTATGTGCTTTGCATCTGTTTTCTTTTCGTTTCTGACTTTGATTCTACCTTGTTTGCTTTTACCTGACAAATATTCTTTGTGCACTTACTATTTTGTAACAGAGGTACTTCGTGATCTCAAGATCTCCACTTCAAGGAGGCCTTCGAGCCATGCGAGAATCTGAGGTAGTTTATACAATCTTAGCAATCTTAGCAAACCATGAGAATTAAAGCCCATGGAGATATCTTCGAGGCTTGTACCAAGGCAAGACTGAACTTTTAGGAATTGATAATCAAATCCAAGAAGTTTGTCTCAAGATCTTGAAGACCAATCAGAACTCCGTATTTGCTATCAGCCTTCTCTTGGATCTCCTTTGCAATGGCTTTCAGCCTTCTGGTGAATTGAGGGGTGTTATTGCAATTTCAAGAAATCTTGAAGCCGGATCTGCATATTCTAATTTAGCGACGAGCATTTGCTCTATTTTAGAGGCTGTTGCTCCTATGAGATTCAACTATTGAGAATGGCGCAGGAACCGTATATCTTCTCAGGTTTGTTGAGGTGGTCAAGAACCTGTACTGGTGTTCATTACTTCAGCTGTTCTTTATGGGCTTCTTCGATGATTCAGCGATTAATATTTGCTCGTTGAGCGTTGACTTTTTAAACAATGAAATTGAAATATGTATGTTCATGGAAAATGCGATTGGACTTGGGGATATAATTTAATACTCATATGTAGCAGCATTAATTTGAAATGTGGTTTTTATATTCCTGACTATCGTACGCGAGTTTATTTATTGGATGAAGTTGCGAGGCCTAAAGTAAGTGTTTTGCCTTATCGTGCTTGTGGTAAGTCGCCATTGACCATTGTGGAGGTTGAACTCGCACAAAGCGTTTTACCTAAACGTAAGTTATATCAATGTGTAGCTTATATCCTATTATAATAGAAGCTAGATTGCAGCCTTATGTTTTCAGTGAGTGGGAAAAATTTTTGTAGCATATTGAGTCTATTAACTATTGAGCATGTTTAACGTTGGTTTTACTTATAAAGAACTCTACTGAATTTTTTTTGTAGCATATTATGAAAATAACTTATCTGACATATATTGCTTCTGTATATTTTTGAAAGTGGTTTTTGGATATATACACTTAAGTCATGGGAACTTGTCAATTTACCCCTCAAATCATTTACTTTTAAATTTACCCTTCAAATTGCTCTTTCGTCAAGTCCCCAAATCATTAAATTTTAAATTTGCCCCTCAAATTGCTTTCTCTCCTAAATTTTACATTCCATGCTAAATTCTGTCAAAATGTTCTTTACTGGTAAATTACATTTATCTCCCCCGATTGAATTTTTTTTAGAAAAAAACAGCAATAAATCTAAACAAGTTGTTTTATCAAGGTTGGAACAATATATGTTTCTTTTATCATGTCACAAAATTTAAAATCACATGAGCTCCGTAACATAAAATCATATTTCCATCTTTTACTATATTACTTGCAATACAATTTATTCATATGATGTTATACTGATACTTTTGCAATACATTTTGCGTATCCCTTTGTAGTCCATAGACTTGACTACTACAAGTGTGTTGTGGTCTCAAATATCAAATTGCCATGTAGACATGCATATGCATCTGATCTCCTTTCCTGAATCCTCACATGCATGGTTTTAGGTGTTGTCCAGCAAGAAGTAGCAAAGAGCAGATTACATCCTGCACGTTAGCACCTTATCATATAATACTGCTTCTAACATATGTTTAAATCTCCTTGCTATAAGCAACTTGTTTATGACCATGTAGGAAAATGAAAAATAACAAATAGTAGTTTCTGTGTGACTTGCTATAAGCAACTTGTTTATGACCATGTAGGAAAATGAAAAATAACAAATAGTAGTTTCTGTGTGATCAATAAGACAATAACTTGCTTGATGAAAAAAACAAGAATATTCCCTCTAACAAGCAAATTTTTTTAAATTTTGGAGACTTCTTACTATGTTTGTGAAAGTTTCTAGGGAAAAATGTATTTAGGCCCAAAAAAAGAAGAAGATGTGCCCCAGCCCCCCACATTTTTTCCCTTACTCTTTAACCCCAAAAATCAAAAGCAATTTGTGCATCCCCCTTTTCACACTTTCCCAGAAAATCATTCCAAAAAAACCTGAAAATACCCCTTCCCTTATCTTCTTCTTCTTCTTCCCCTCCTCCTCCTCTGTGGCTTCCTCCTCCTCCTCTTAATCTCCTCCCCCTCCCCCTCCCTGTTTCTCTCGCTTCTCTTCTCACGCTCAAAGCCCAAGCCCCAGGATCCCCAGCTCCAAAACCCTAACCCCAGCCCCAACCCCAAATCCCCATCATCAACCTCCTTCTCCCTCAACATCTGGCCTTCCACCCAGCGCACTCGCGACGCCGTCACCACTCGCCTCGTCGAAACCCTAACCTGCCCTTCCTCCGTCTTCGCCAAGCGCTACGCCGTCACATGCTTTCTGATTTGTGGTGTTTATGTTGTTTGCCTTATAAACCTAGATCACATGCTTTCTGATTTGTGGTGTTTATGTTGTTTGCCTTATAAACCTAGATTTGTGGAAGGAGAGCAAAGCCAAGTCTCAATGGTGGATTGATTGCGTTGTGGAAGGAGAGCAAAGCCAAGTCTCAATGGTGGATTGATTGCGTCATCTTAGGTATGAACAATTTCCTGTGCTTTCTGTCAGCAAACCTATGGTTCAATACAGCAACCACATCAGTAATGGTGGGGTTTGGTTTGTTAAGTGTTTACTTTAAATAGTTACTAATGGCCTGACACACTTTCTGGGCTTGTGATCTACAAAAATTCTCAGTGAAGGGCTGTCTATTAGCTTTGTGATAAGGCTTTGTGATATTGTGTGGCCAATTGCTTCCTTTGTGTGATACGTTTTCTGAATGCTTCCTTAAGTGCCCCATTGTCTTCATGTAAATTTGAATGAACTCAGATGTATAATTTGATGTGTGTGATATCTTTTCTGAAGACTTGGCCTTTTGTCCTTGCATAGTGTGCTTGAGCTCATGTGCAACTTGTTTGATGTCCGTGTGCTATGTGTGATTTGTCTGCCAAATGTTTCCTTGTGTGCCTTTTGTTTTGGCCTAACTGTTGACAAGGTTGTATATTTCTTGATATGATTATGGCTCTTTGCATCTCTGCTTCCCACTCTAATGTGCATTTACTTGTTTTGTGTATTTAAGTGAGTGATGATAATCCAACTGTTTCCTAGCATTGGTACTCACTTGTTCTGATCTTTTTGTAGGAAGAAGAGACCGAGGAGGAGTGATGGTCTTGATTCCCTTGCAGAAACCCTTGCAAAGTGGAAAGAACTCAACCGTCAAAATGATACATCCAAAGATGGTAGAAAACCTACACGAAAGGTACCTACAAAGGGATCAAGAAAGGGGTGCATGCGAGGGACTTGAAGGTGAAGAGGATAACCCCCATCATCTCCACCTGGCGATTCGAGGGGATGAGGAGCTCGACACGCTGATCAAGGGGACGATTGCTGGCGGAGGAGTCATCCCTCACATCCACAAGTCCCTCATCAACAAATCCTCCAAAGAGTAGTTGGTGGTCTTTTAGAATTGTTATGTGCAGCTTGTAATTCCGTGTTGTGTTTACTTTTGTGTTTTGGGGTCAGACTTAGATTTCCAGCTGATGCGAGTTTTAATATAGAACTTTGTTTAGAGATTGAAGTTTGCTGATTTTTAGGTACATGTTATTATGATATTGTAAAATCCCATGATCAGCAATAACATGATCAGCAAGAACATGTCATGTTTCCTATGTTAACTTTCATCATTATATGTTAACCCTCCTCATAACATGTTAACTTTCTTTCTGGACATGTTAACATTCATCATAATATGTTAACTTTCACTGTTACATGTTAACTTTCATAATAATATGTTAACTTTCGCAGTTTTATGTTAACTTTCATGCAAACCTGTTAACTTTCACTGCTTTATTTTCGTAGAAGCATTTAAAAAAAGCTATGACCAAGTCTTTTAATCACAAACTGTGCCAAACTCGGGGCCGCCCTCTACTTGTGACCTCGTTGTTGCTGCGTCAGATAGAGGTTGGATTTGCATGGTTTTCACTTGGCATCAACATACATT